TCCGGGGGGGGGGGGGGGGGGGGGGGGGAGGGTTAGTGGCAACAGTTACCATTTAATTTCACCATACTGATTTTTAGCTGTCTCTTTTAGATAACCTGTGTTGTGCCTGTGCCCATGCTAATGCCCCTATCCAAAGCAGCCTATGCTCAGCTTTGCCTCACTTCTCCCATTGCTCTGTTCAACCAATAAAAGTGAAATAAAGCCATGTGTAACATCTGAGACATAGGGTTGTGATCTCTTTCCCCACCCATGTGTGACAACACTAGGACAATCACCAAACACCTGTCACCTGAGAGAAAGGAGATGGAGTCACATGCTCCTCCATACCCAAAGGCACCCAGTATTTTCTATACTCTTGGCAGCTGAACAGATCAGTCGGGGAGTCAAGGAATGGTGAGGATGTGCTGCTGAGGAGGAGGACAGTAATGTGTATTTCCACTTTTACTTGGGTTGGGGCTTCCACTTGGCTTCTTAAAGTAGTATTAAAGGCTTATTGGTTTTTACCTTAATGCATTCTCTGCATTAAGGTAAAAAACACCCATACTCTTCTAAAACCCCTGTCCCTTCCACACTTACCTGTGGTCGCTTGTATCCTCCACCATGACCGGGAAGATTCTCTGGGTTCCCCAAACTTCCTGGTTGTGGGGAGGGAACTGAGAGCAGAGGATCCATAGGGTCCTTCTGCCGTCAGTGAAATGGTGACTGCAAGAGTGGGGGCAAGGCTAGCCACATGCTGTATGTGTGCTAGGTATGGACAAGGCCGTAAGTGTGCACGCACGGGTGTGTCTCCACAGTGGTCAACTAGTTGATGGAGGCACCCATACAGTGGGGTGGGACCAGCAGTTTGGATACCACTAGAGAACAAGGAAATAAATAAAAAATATATTTTTTTTAAGTGAGTCTGGCCCCCAACAAAAAAAGGTAACAAAGAAGGTTCAATATCACTTTAAGGGTTGCATTTTTGACTTGCTTCTCCTTTGTACTGTTAGGAGGGGTGAGGGGTTTAATCCTGTCTACACTGTGCTGTCTCATTTCATTATAATTTGTAAAGCAGATTTGAACACTGCCTGTCCTAACAAAGGGTTAAAGGATTAAAGCCTGGCATTACATGTTAATGAAGTTAATGAGAGAAACACAATCCACACAGTTCTGTCCTAGGTCTTTCTATAAGGACAGATCACTGTGAATGTGCTCAGAAAAAATAGATTCAGCCATGTTGTCTGCTTCATCAAACATCTAAGAGGATCAAAGAGGTAAGAAATATATTTAAAAAAATATTCTTCAGTATGCTGTATGAATAGAAACACATAACAAATATATATGCAGGAGTTTAATCCAATTTGACAGCTAAATTTGAAATACACTTTAAAGGAAACCTATTGCTTTGCTCTAAATGTCAATGATACACAGTTTTGCAATGAAAATCTTAGTTTGCTAGAAAGCAGAGAATAAGGGTTACAGTTTGGAACCAATTCAAGTACAAGTAAATATTAGTTGCTATGAACTGCAGAAGCCACTGGAATATATAATCGGTTGAAACACGATTGCCATGAGGGAAGTAAATGCATTACTCAAGTAGGGGACCTGGACCTAAATGTGCCAGGATGGAGCCTAGACATCCATACTTTACATTACTTGTCAGAGCTACGGCTAAGTCAGTGGGAAGATTTCAGGCAGCAAATAGAATCAATAGTGGGTCTTAGGCTGACAATGTATTAGGTAATCTGACCTTTAGGTAATTAGAAAGAAAGAACTTTATAAGAGAGAATAATTCTGATTTCACAAAACTTCTACATTTTTATTTAAAAATAAATAATATTGAATAAATAATAAATAAATATATATATGCTATTATCTATCATGATACAATAACATGCAGTAGTGTATAAGAGGCTTGAAACATCAAGTATTGAGGTGATTTCTTATGGCAACCTTGAGTTGAAATGCCTCATGCCCATGCACACAAAAGAACATGTCAGGCAACACTCTTGACTTGAGCCAAACCACATTCTCATTAAGTGGTATGTGTGAATGCTACAGTATAATGCAATTATTCTCTTTTATAACTGTAGTATGGTAAGTGTATAAGCTTTGGATAATTAATCAACCACTATGCCAATGGCTAATGAGATTTTACATTTTGAATAGGAACATTTTAAGATGTCAAAACAAAATAATGATATGTCTTTTAAAAAATATTAACTAATCCTACAATGTACCATCTATTTCAACATATACAGGTTTAGCTAATAAGGCAAAGAGCAATTTAAGAAATGTAAAACAAATCCAGTTGCTATGGGCCATGTCACTGCACATCAGTGTTCCAAAGTAAGGAGGCTGCCATTGTGGACCTCTCTGTTTGAAAATACTAGCTAACTGCCTGACATGCTGATCCAGTGGCTTCAGTACAACTTAGAACAAGTATGCAGATTAGCGGTAGTGATTTCGGTCTTACTGTCTTAATTTGCATTTTTGTTTCTAGGGAGTGTCTCAAACTGTTGTAGACCGCAGAAAGCCAGGCAACTAACATTTTTAGAAGGAGGCCAGCAATAGATGTCTCTTTATTGCTACCAACACAAGTTTTCTTTGATAAACTCAAAATAGTGCATTGAAAACTAGATTTAGGTGGATGAAAACAATCAGAGACTTTAAAGAACTTATAATGGTGACATTGTGTTGCTATAGGTCTTATTCGATTGCAAGAGCTCATCATGGCCCCTGCCAGATACAACATTCGGCTAAAAATACGTCAGCTTCCACCTGAGTCTGAAGATGCTCGGCCACTCCTGAAAGAAATGAAGAGGGGAAGGGAGTTCCGTATTATCTTTGACTGCAGTCATGTAATGGCAGCTCAAGTCCTCAGGCAGGTGGGTACCAACATTATTTTGTACTCAGCAAAGCTAATCAGACTTCACTGTAATGTTAAGGTAGTAATATTTTTGATTTGTTCTGTTACAGTACTGCTGCTTATTAATTTTTACACCATTAAGATTCATCACATCTCACCATATGTTCTACATCCTCTATTAGCAAATGTTAATATCTGTCCTTTCTGTTACCCATTGTAAGTTACTCAATATACAAGACACAGCATTTGTTAATTATTTTGCTTTACAGCTATTATTTCCCTCCTTTTTTCCTAAACATTGCCTTTTTAGATTTAACATTTATTAAACATGTTTAAAGCCTTAAAAAATCCAACTAAATGCTGTTTTGCTGTGTAAATGAATATATTTTCAAAGTAAATATATTCATAGACATCTGCATTCACTGTATGCGGAAAGTTATACTAAAGGCAAACTACTTTTGATACGAGAATTGTTATAACATACTGTATATAATACTACACATACCATTTTTTTAATTTAAAGTGTATGTAAACACAGAATGTATTTTCAGTCTCACTATATACAGTTTTCTTAAGCAAGTTTTTTTTTTTTTTTGTGTTTGTATGGTTTCATGTCTTGAGACCCTGCAAGTAACAACAATTTCGGTTGCATCCTGACAACACTAAGCCACTTCTTTTAGTTTAGTTTAGTAAGAAATCTGTATACAGAGGGGCCCGAGGTCACAATGCTATACTGATAATAGATTTTGTGTTTCCATTATTCAAAAACTAGAGCATGCCTGACAAGATCAAGTGACACAGTAAAAGCACCAATCACAAATCTGTGTTTACATACACAAGGCCAGTGCTCTGGCCTTGTGTATGTAAATTAATTTACATACATATAATAACATTATAATAAATATAATAACATTTCCCCAAACTAAAATTAATTCCCTTTACATGAGGGGAAATTGTGGTTGTAGTAAATATGTCTAATATTAAAGTGTCTGGGTATAGATATAAGGTGTACCCTGTATAGAACAAGTTAGGGCAATTGTACTATTACAGATTTATAAAGTCTTTGAAGTGAAACATCGGGCAAATATCTAATTAAAATACACACATAAAGTATATATTTATTGTTTTACCAGCAAAGGATTTGAATTCTGTAAACAAGCCATATAATTTTTTTGGATAGCGTAAGGAAGGATTAAAAACCTTCAGGTTTTTATGCCATTGGGGAAATTTTGCAAAGCTACATAAGCATAGGTACCTATCTCTAAACCTTTAGGTTGAGCTAACATTCAGCAGTACTTATGATGGCTCAAAATGGCCTGCAGTAGTAGTCACTGACCCCAGTGAAGACTTAAACTATTAAACACATGGCCATATGTGATATTAAATTCTACAGAAACAGGAATTCCAAAAAGCTACATTTCCATTTCAACAGCCAAGGCATTCATCATAAGGGTCAGTTACACCTTTCTGCAGATCCTTATGAGTTGCTGCGAGCTTGAATGAATTGAGATAGAAATGCAGGGTCATTCCTGAGCAGGTTACCATGTGAATACTGTATACAGTATATCTAAAGATTAATGCTCAAAGTACCATTTATATAGGTAAGCAAAATATTTTCCTCATGTCAATGAAAGGAATTCTAAATTGTTAACATTGCATATTTAGTTGGTATTCTTAAGCAGTTAGGCAGTCTTATTTCTAAAACACACTGAAAGCAAATTAGTCAGCAGCTGTTGTCTGGGACTGGTTCGGAATGAGAGCCTGTTTGACTTTATAAAATCATGCAGTGATCACTGTAGGTGCAGAGCAGACAGTTTTTTCTTTAGAATTGACTTTGCTTAAATTACTTTTCTTTTTTATTTAAAATTGTGTATCCCACAGAGTCTATAGATAATTTACTTTGTATTATTACATTTATTTAATGTCTCAAACCCTGCATTCTTCAAATTTAATACATATCCTGCTTTAAAATACATAATTAAATTACTTAAACAGATTTACATGTTGGCATTTATAAATATTCAACTTTCCATGGCTCTTAGCAACTGACAAGCCCTAAATTTATAATGATTCACATGATGTTTGTTAGGTATGATCCTCCTTATGCTTATGCAGCACAGTGAACCTGAAAAGGTATGGGGAGGAATGTCCATTGTACAGGAATTCTTTTGCACCCTAGTTGAACAGCAGTGGCTCTAAGGGCCAATTCACACCAGCTGCTGTGCAACACACACACCGGCTGGTTTGCGTTGGCTGACACAGTGCCAGTGCATCGATCACAGCACACCACACTGTGTACTTTTTTTGGTAGAACTTTATTAAAATCACATTTAATTCAGTTCTATGGGCACAGTGGGGTGGGAGGCAGTTGTAAAGGTGTCACATTGTGCTGTGCTAAAAACAGTACAGCATGCCATACTTTTTTTCAGCACACACCATTGGGTTCCCTGCGCAAAGTGGTGGCGTGAACCGAACCCATCCATAACAATGCAAGTTGCCTTGTCTTGCATTGGGGCTGCACTAGAAACAACATTGGAAAGTGTATTGTCTTTTTGAAAATGGTGTTGAAGTGGCAAGAATGTTCTGGAGGATTAGAACATAGGTGCAGAGGAACCCTAGACAGGGCCTTTCAAGTTTCTGAAAGAGAGAGAGAGTACTGTGGAAATATATCTACTGTATATGGTGGAACGAAGTCTGACAATGTCTGTAAGAAGTCTGTCAATCACCTGTTTCCTGGTTATAGTGAAGTTTAACCTCACTATTTCTCCCACTGACAATGGTCACCAGGACAAATAGAGAGGGTTCATCTCCCCAGAAGGGACACTGAGATCAATAAACCTGATAATAAAAAAATTACACACACAATATAATATCCATCTTTTTTTGTATCATGTAAAAAATGTTTTTGTGCCAATTAAGTAGATACCAAACACGTCAAGTTTAAAAATTGCATGCACCTTGAACACATTAGCGGTGACAGGCTCTGCTTAAGGAAACACGGCATATGGCAGCTGCAGTGCAAGTTTAAGGCCATGGCATTAGTTCTCCAATACTAACTAGTTCAAATGTGTTTTGGCTTAGTTTTACAGGACAGTTAGTGTCACTTTAAAAGATGTTTGCACATCAGAGCTACAAGCCCTGTATTGGTGGGCTTTATGTTTACAACTGAACCAATTCCCTTCCAATATAAGTAGAAGGATGTCAAAAACCGGGCAGAAGGAGGTTAGCTGTCAGTGAACTCCGAATGACCACAGAAGCTTCTTATACTGATGTAAAATGCCCAAGGAGCACATGTGCAATTAATTGGAGCAGTGTGCAGGGGGGGGGGGCATGTTGGACTGCTGACAACTTGGGCCACTGCATTATCATAGCTGGCAACATTTTAAAGACATTTCCAAGGACATGATTTTTTGCTCTGCATCCAGCAAGCCATTGTAGGTGGAGAATGTACTTTAATTAGAAGTGAGGAATTCAGAATTGGTGTAGTGTAGAGGTATATTGTTAGCCTTTTGTACAACTTAATTTTAAAATACTGTATATGCAGGAAGATTTATCATATTAAAGATAGAAATACAGCCAATAAGGTTTTGTTCAGGGCAGTTGTCAACTATGCATTATGTGTTAGAGCAGTGCTCTGACTTTTCAGCGTGTTGCCACCACAGGGTATTTGAACCCTTGCTGGCATCGCAATGTACTATTAAAAATTAAAAAAAACATATTGATTGGGTTATATCTAGCCTTACTGCTTTACAGTAATCAATGAAATGGTTTAACAGACTGAAATGTTTTGTAGTTGAAATGATGAACCTTCCTATTTACTTCTGTGTATGCCTTTACTTCTTTTGCAGGCCATGGCAATGGGCATGATGACAGAATACTATCACTACATCTTTACAACACTGGTAAGTATGTTGTATGTAATGTATGGTGGAATACCACCAAGGAGGTTAAGAGTGACTTCTCTCAATAGCCCAAGTGTTTTGGGGAGCAAGGATTTGCAGTTATGACTGCTTCAGCATTAAATAAACCCTGACCCTGACTTTAAAAGCTGTAAGTAACAGCACAAAAAAATCAAGTATTTAAAATGCTTACATGCAGTGCTTTTTTGCCAGGCATATTTTTTATTCATGCACAATGTACCTTTGAACTTGCTAGAAAAATTGGCTAGTCAATTCTCTAGCCCCCTCCCTAATTTAACATCATAGCCTTCTCCTTTGCTTGGAGTGTCTAATTACTGTCTGTGCTGACCCAGCCCTCCACCCCTCCCTTTACCTTCCTACATAACCTATTATATAGCAGCCAGGGAAGTAGAGAATGGTAATACGATAGAGTGACTCTTGAAAGACAGATTTGGGTTGCTGACATCACATCCAAGATGGCAGTGCCCAGCAGAAGTCTCAGAGCATTTGGATGCCTACTGAAGAAAGCTTTTACAGGTAAATAGCATTCATAAACTATGTGAAATTCAGATGTAATCTTATGGGATGATTTTTGTTGAAATGAGCAGACAGTGACACGGTCTCTTTAAACTGTACAAGATTACTAATATTCAGGAACATTTTTTGTTATTGGTAACAGGAAAAAAATCTGCAACAGAGAATACAGAGCATTTGATAAATGCACATAATGACTTGTGACTGTTTAGCATATGGGCTCAACGGTCCATAATATCTATGCTGGCATGCAACGCTGAAATTCATCTCCTGTGGAGACATCAATGGCTTTGATTCTGCTGACTGTCACAATTATAGATAAAATGCACACATCTGATCATTATCCAAGCAGGACATGCGTTGAACATTTATGATTGCTTCTTTTTTTTTAATGTGGAGACTTTTTGTCTTTACTGCTAGTATGGTTCTTATCATGTCAAATTGTATTGAATTTATCTGTAGGTATATTGTGATTCTGTGGGTGATTCGAGTTATTTTTTTTATCAATATGGACCAAATGTTCTTCAAAGGGTTATTAAACCCTCAGCAGTTTTTTTAATATATCTACTGCTAGTAAGCAAGTGAGTAAATGCAGCAGCATGGGACAGGAAGTGCCAGAGGAGAGAGGAGTCATAGTTACATAGTTACATAGTTACATAGTATTTGAGGTTGAATAAAGACATTAGTCCATCAAGTCTAACCTATTAGGATCTCATTCTAGGAGTACCTGTACCCCTGTATATTACGGTCCCTTAAGAAATTGTGCAAAAGTTTCTTGAACAATTCCACATTATTTGCTGAAATCACCGCTTGTGGCAGTGAGTTCCAGACCCTAACTGATCTTACTGTGAAGAACCACCGTCGCCCCTTGTGCTGGAATTTTTTTTCCACCAATTTTAGGTGGTGGCCTCTAGTTTTTGTAATGGAGTTAATTTAAAACAGTTTATCGCTAATGTTGCTACCACCATTGAACATTTTGTACATGGAGATCATATCCCCCCTTAATCTCCTCACCTCCAATGTGAACATGTTTACATTTAGTAGCCTTGTCTCGTAGCTCTGGTCCTCCATACCCCTAATTAGTTTGGTTGCCCTCCGCTGGACTTTTTCCAACTCAAGGACATCTTTTCTTAGTACTGGTGACCAGAACTGG